CACTTACTATGATCAGCACACTATTTTGCAGATTTTAATTTTGCAAATTTTTTCAAAACTCGAAAATCACAAAATTTTATCCCTGCAAAATATGTGGCTTATATGGTATTTCACTGCCATTGATCACCAATGTATTGCTAGCTAAGTTCATGTACTTATGCTTGTATTGATTAATGCTTAACCACATGCTATGGACATGTATTATGTGTACATATGCCAAATTTCATCAAAAATGACTAGGAAAGATTCGTTCATTTTTGATACATGTACATGTGGTATAGAAAGTTTGAGTTGAATCTGATCAAAATTAGATTTAACAAATTTTTAAGTTACCCCAAAATCAGGCCAAAGTCCCTGACATGTACTATTATAGTACAGGGTCATTGGTCAAAATTTCATCAAAAATCAATAGGAGAGATTGATCCATTTTTATAATTTTTTCTTGATACGTGTAAGTCTGAGCTAATTGCAATCAAAATTAAAATTTCTAAAGTTTCTCCAAAATTGGGCCAAAGTCTTTATACTATAGTACAGGGTCATTGGCCAAATTTTGTCAAAAGAGATTACTTCATCAATTTTTCCTGATGCATATATATATATACATGTACATTGTACATGTTTTTATGTTGTGTAAAAAGTTTGAGCTGATTCTGATCAAAAGTGGATTTTTTATAAATTTTTGATTCGCTCCAAAATTGGGCCAAATTAAGTCCCTGTACTACATTACTGGTCATTGGCCCAATTTTGTTAAAATTACAAAAAGAGATTCCTCCATTTTTACAATTTTCCTAATGCTTACCATATACCGGTTTATTTTTATTGTAAAATATTGTCACAAATTTTGCATTTTTGCTCCATCGCAAAAATTTTCCACCACAAAAAATTGCATTTCTGCCACGTGTTGCAGTCTGCAAGCTATTTGCAAAAATTAATTCTGCAAAATCCAAAAATTTCTTACTGTGAAACTAAACTGGTATACAATATACAATGTATATGTTGTTATGTTGTGTAGAAAGTTTGAGCTGATTCCGATCAAAATTGGATTTTTTTTACAAATTTTTTAAGTTGGGTCAAAGCCCCGGTCTCAAATTTCTCCAAAATTTGAGACCAAGCCAAATTTTTTCCAAGATTGAAAAGGTAAGAATTTTTCATTTTAGTAC